TGCAATCCTGATGGCTTTGCTGGTGAGGCGGGTGTTATAAATGTCCAGAAGGGGGGGGAGAGAGACACCAATGATCCTCTCAGCTGCTCTCACTATGCGCTGCAGAGTCTTGCGGCAGGACATGCTCTCGACGGTGCCTTGATGCTTTCCTCTATGTTGTGTGTCATATCCAGATGTAAATACCTGAAAATAAAAGCTGAAATTGTCTCATATTCAGTGGAATTGGCCTCACTGTTCCAATACTTTTGGAAGGGGGTGTATATTGTATTTGCAGTGTTAGGAAGTAAGGCATTGCTACTAATAATATTACAGCAATATTACTTTCCCCAGTAACTAGTAGTGTAACTAATTATTAATACAGTTCAGTAATGATATTACACAGTAGTTTATTCCCCCAAAAGTAATTAGTTACAGCCTTACTTTTGTTTTCAGCCCCCCCTACTGACAATTACATCCTAGTAAAACTAGTTTCAAGGATGAAAACACAATTGGCAGCTTGAAATATTCTTTAATTTTAACAAACAAAACTGGATTTTGGGTCTGAATTTTTAATAAGAAGGTAGGCAGGGGAGCAGCAGAAAAGTAATATAAATAGTAGTGTAACTAATTTCCTTTGGCAGGGAGCAATAAGTAATAATAATAATACATTTTTTGAGTAAAACTAGCCCAACACTGTTTATTTGTAGTTTGCCAAATCATAACAGAAGTTATTTCAGGACAGTTTTTAAATAAAGTAGGTCCTACTCCTTATAATAATAATTAGAGAGACCCAACAATACCCACAATGAGCCCACTGTGGTGACAGTGGCAAGGAAAAACTTTTAAAAAACACAATCATTGTAGAGTCTCCAGTCTTATTTGTGTGTGTTGTTTGTGCAGCAAACTACAGTAGTATTTTGTTTAAAGAACCTGGGGTTAGTAGGGATGCTCATATTTATCAGCCTTAATTTTGCGGTGGCTAAATGTTGTGTTGGTTATGTCTGATCTGTCTCAGCTCCGTTTTCCAGCAGTAGCACAAATTGCATGCAAACACCGATGTGCTCTGAAAAGAAAGAGGAGAAAAGAAATAGACTCAGCTGCAACAAGGCAGATATGTTTATCTATATAGATTTCTTTGTACATTGTTAGCAACACTGGCTATTTGGCTATTGTTATTGTTATTTTAATCGGTATCGGTAGAAGTGAAGGGAAAGGTTGCACTTGTTTTTCTCATTAACTTGTGAGCTCACTGAACTGATTTGTTGTGCCAACACAAACATAAGCCAACATATACCTTTAAATAATGATAAGTCATTTTGGAAGTTTGTTACTGTTCTATCTTAATTGATTTTAAAATGTGTTACATTGAAAGCTCATCATGATGCAACAGGTTTTCATATTTTGCTCCACAAAATAGTGATTTGGTAAGTGATGGATAACACAGGCTGATAAGCCATGAGTGGTAGTAGATTGTTTGTGTGTTGAAGGCAAATCAGTCTGTTATTATTCCATTTATATCTTAGTTCAGTTCATTGTGTATATTCTTTAGTGTGGTTGTTGTCACTTGACTTTTTCCTGCCAGAAACTGGATGAATCTTCGAGATGCAGAGACAGGCAAAGTGCTTTGGCAGGGAACTGAGGACCTCTCTGTACCAGGAGTAGAGCATGAAGGTACATTCACACATCAAACTAGAAATTTGACATTTACATCAAATGTATTGCAGCAGAACAAGGGTTTTCAAAATCTTTGGCTATTATTTCCAACAGTTAATAATATTTGTTCATCAGCTACATTGCTGACATCTGTTGATGTAGGGACACAGACACAACTTTGCAATCAAATACATGAAGCAACCATACAAGCCACCAGACAGGTTTTATATGAGAAGTGAAATATATTATATTATATTATATTATATTATATTTAGAAGTGAAAAGGGACGTTATTACCCAATCTTATAAAGATGTTATTACCCAAACATTTTTGTTTGTACTTAAACTGCATTTGTAGGCTCTACTGTCTGGTTGGATATGGTTGTGGATGAAAGATCCACCATGCTTACTGCTTACAATTTGGCTATACTTTTTGGTGGTGTAATCTATAATGCTACTTTATAGTTATTTGATAAAGATGATCAAATCTTAAATATAAAATATTGAATCAAATGTAATTGTTAGTCAATTAGAAAAGTCTTAGTCGACCCACTTTTATCAACATATGTGCATGCATTGGTTCTTGGCTCCTATCTGGCTCTCTACCTCTCCTTCTGCAGCAGCAGCACTTGTCTGTCTGGTCTGGCTGGGGGATCTTCTCAAGTATGCCGATCTTTAATCCAAACTCCATTCTTCCTTTTCCGATGGCTGTAGGCTATTTCTGTCATAGGTAATAGTGTTTCAGCAGAGTTTGATGGACCTAGCTTACTGGCTGCAGCATCTGAGTGTGCAGCTGTTCCCTGATCAAAATCTTGTGATCCAGTCGATTTGAACAATTTTGACTTGGTCCTTAATTTCAAACCCAATCAGACATCATTCATTGATGTTTCAGCAATAAAGCTGAAGTATTTCAAGCCGCTGCATCTACATGTGAAACCGTTGCCATGTCTCAAAAGTGTCAGGGTTTAAGTAGGGCTAGCGCGGATACTGTGCACTTTCTTAGTTTAATGGAAGCCCACAAAGCTTAAAGGGGAAAAGGTCACCTAAAAACAGAGTGGTTTGCTTTTGAAAACTCATATTATAAGTCCCATTTTGAAACTGAAGAAGAGTCTTAAGTCTATGGCTCTGCCAGTAAACCGCTATTGCATGCTTTCAAAACTAACTTGGCGTCATCGTCAGCACAATTTATTCCACTTTCTCTTTGTCTCTCAAGCTCGCGTCCCGAAGAAGATCCTGAAGTGTAAAGCAGTATCAAGAGAACTGAACTTCTCCTCCTCAGAAAAGCTGGAGAAGTTCAGACTGGAGCAGAAAGTTTTCTTCAAAGGACAATGTCTAGAAGGTAATCCTCCACTCAGCTAAACTACTCAGTTAAAGGTACTCTGTGGGACCTAATATGGTTTAATACTACAGGTCACAGAAATTTTGGGGCAGCTAAACAAACTACAGTAGTTTTAATAAAGAAGTTAGGCAATAATTTGCCGTTTTCCACCATTCTGTGAGCAACCATGATCAGATTTTATGCTATACACGGCATGGGTCTATAAACAGTGACAGTGAATATTGGTTACCTGGCTGAGAAGTTGACGGTGTGTCACCTAGAGTTCTTCATCTAACAGCTCAGTGTGGCTGCTCCTTCCTTCCGACAAATGCTATTTTTCTTTTCTTTCTTTTTTTTGATTTTAGATGAACGATAGCAGGCAGCTAAGTCAAGCTCACTGACAAACACATTGCATTTACGTTTCACCAGTTAAATGCTTTTAATGTAAAGCTTCAGCAGTAGGAAATGTGTGGTTTGCATTAGCAGTAACTTAAATGTGCAGTAGGTAACTTTTATAAAAATAGATTTTGTCATATTTGCTGAAATTTTTGTTATTTCTTGACAGCAGTACATGAGACGGTTAATCTGTGAAAAAATTAAGTTCCTCTGTCTCCTTCTAGTGCTCTTAATTGTATTTGTAAGAATCTACCGGGCCTGAAAAAAAAAATTAAAAATCCGAGCCGAGAAAGACGCTTTGGGTTGAAAACAACCAATCAGAGAAAAGAAGGATAGTTGATTGTTGAGTCTTTATTCCCAGTGTCTGTATTTGATGACCTGTGACACTAAGCAATCAACCATCTTTCTTCCCTCTGATCCCAGCTGCGGTGCAGTCTACTCAAGTTGACGACTTAAGTACAATTTAGAAAAGTGATATTTCCACTTTTGTCCACAGTTGTTACAACACATGTTAAGCTAATAATTATTTAGGAACAAGCTAAACGAAAAGCTGTTTCTATGTAGTCAAAGTGTTAATTTTAGTTAAACAAATCTGAGAGGTCACGAGGAAAGACTAATACTGACTAATGTCTGTGTGTTTGATGTTTTGACATTATTTAAGGTTTTTATACCAAGCACAATTTAAAATGATGGCATTCTGGAAATTATAAGGTTTAGTAATTAAACTGAATAAGTTATGTGATATATTTCTTATTATACACATACATACCAATCATTGGTCAAAATATTGCTAAATTTGTCTAAATTAAAAAAAAAACATAAGTTGTAAATGAAAAGCAAGTTTGGGAGTCAAAAGATTGCTGAGCTGAGCTAACTGATCTGACTCACTAAAAAGAGATGGAATTCAATTTAGAAGCAATTCTATTAATTGAGTGTGAATTTGCTCTTATGCATGCACTACTAATAATCACTCAGTGTCAGAAATGGAATCTGAACAATCCAAAGGATTAGTAAGGTATATGTTATCACACTAAACTATCACACCGTCTGAAAGTGTTTGCCAATCTCTGACAAAACCATTTGGGTCTTTGGAAACTAGAATCAGCTGTTTGTGTTGCAGTTTTATTTATGGCAACCTTACCTGTCCATAAGTGTCTTTGGCTGATCAAGGCACTGGCCTAATTGGAGTTGTTATACAGTGGCAGTGGGCCTTTGTGCTTACAGCAGTATAATGCTTTCAGATCTTCAACATTCTGCCCCACCTTACTGTTAAAGCAAACCTGCATTATAAGTTATTATGGAAAGGCTAGAGAAGAACAGAAGCATCATATCCAATTACCAACAGACAATTCACTTAGATGTGATCTTTCCTAAGTTGTACATCTGTTAAGTGTTGTCACTTCCTTGTTGTCTGTGTGTTTGGAGTGTTGTCCCTGGGGCCCTGCTGTACAGGGGTGAGGTTACAGAGAGCCCAGAGGACAACACATGTTTATGTTGCTGGTTTCCACCAGAGAGGGAAACGTCTCAGAAACAGTACTTGCACCATTATGGTACACTAACACACTGTATAAACCCAGGAATCCAAATAGTGATATTGTATGTTGTTAAAGCAGCACTGAGCTCTTTGTCTGTGTTTCTCCATCCAGAATGGTTCTTTGAGTTTGGCTTTGTTATCCCAAACTCCACCAATACATGGCAGTCTCTGATAGAAGCAGCTCCAGAGTCCCAGATGATGCCAGCCAATGTTTTAACGTGAGTCTCCTCTCAGATTTTCTTTTTAATTTAGCTGTTTTATGTTTCCGTGTTGCTGACACATGCAGTACATCGTCTTTATCATCTGTGCTATTTAATCCTATACAGCTGTGATTTAGTTTTATAAAAAAAACCTTGAACTAAATCTAAGCAAGATACATTGTTTGTCTTGTGTACTACTGTCAAGATATAGTGAAAGTTGCAGAAAATATTATGAAAGGTTATTGTTAGAAGTTACATCCCACAGTTTTAAAGCAGCAATTTTCTTAATCTACTCTGTGTTTATGGTGTTATCATAACTGTCAAGAATGAACTACAGGATTAAGAGACAAATTGAAATTTTCTGATGAAAGTTGATTCTTGCAATCACAACAGTAGGAATTCGGTGATTCATGGTAATGTTGTATAGTGTACATAATGTGTGCTTTTTGTGGCAGTTATAGTAGTGGAATGGACAGAGATTTGATACCTCAGTTATAGTTTACATGTGTCTTTGTATTCCAGTGGTAATGTGATCATAGAGACCAAGTTCTTCGATGATGACCTCCATGTCAGTACCTCCAGGGTACGACTTTTCTACGTCTGACCTCTGACCTCTGACTCTACCTTCCAAGATGCTGATGTCCTGCCAAGGTCTATAAATTACCAAGGTTAGCTACAATTTGCAGCAGTAAACCGCTCATTGCTGACTTGGGATCAGTACATTTGGGTGAAACCCAACTGTGGTCCCACACTCAGTGACGTGAGCTTTGTGTTTGGTTGTTCTCTTGTTTTGTGTTGACCGGGAAACTTCTTCTAGACCTTGGGAGAGGAAGAAGGGGATCGAGCACTCTGTTGTTTCCTCTTTTCCAAAATCATCTCTCTCTGATTTTACCCCCCAGACTGTTCCACTGTAAATACATTACCATTGATCTCAAGTCATCCAGGGAGCCACTCTGAAGTTACACAATTCATGTTTTATTTTTTTATTATTCTGCCCTCTCTCACTCCAAGGTTGCATTTACTCAGGAACAGAATACCAGACTTATAACTTGTCTGATCTGATCTTCTCCTTTCTGTCTCAACTTGGAAACACTGCTCTCCATGTGTTGTCTGTTTTAAACACAAGCTGTGTGTCAAGGAAGGATGCAGCTCAGTGTCTGTCCTGAGTTTTGTTCAAAGGGTCTTTATCATAAAACACTAGGTAACATTTCCTCTAGCTGTGTCCCATCCCAGAGTCTTCCTCCTGTGAAGTCCACATTTCCTGACAGAGTTTATCATCATGGGTAAGTAAGGCTGCCCAATTTATCAAAATATTATCGAAATTCCAATATGGTCAAGTGCAATATCCAAATCGCAGAAGCTACAATAAAAAAAAAAAAAGGTCAAATGTGTTACAAACAGCATTATAATTAAGTTTTATAGTGCTGCAGAGATGCTCTGGCCTATATATCCAATTGTAAGCATGTTTGTTTGGTACAGACCCCAAGAAATGTAACAACATCATGTTTTTAATAGTTTTTTTCACTAAAAAAGGAAAATTGTGATACAAAAATTATCATTCCTGCTAATTGAGATTCATCACAGTATGATTTGTTTTACTATATTGTGCAGCCCTACACAACAGGTGAACTGTTTGTAGTCCTCAGTATCCCAGAATCCTTTGCACTGGTCAGTTTTTGTCTACTTGTAAAGTCAGAAAATGTTATCAGAAAAATGGCAGTTAATGGATATATTTTGACATATTTACTTGGTTGGCCAACAATTCAACTCTGAAATTTCCAGTTTTATGAGTTGACAAGGACTGCCTAGATGCAGGCACTATTAATGGTGGTCTCTGTGAGGCCAAGTATTGAAACTGTTGATGTAGCTTTAGTCCTCTGAAGGACACACCTTTGCAGGCAGCCTCTGAAGTGGGACACAGCTTCTGCCAACTAAACCTTTCCTGGTTTCTGACTGTGTTAACTAGTGTAGAACAGTGAGGTGTAATGGAGGACCAAGCACCTTTTTTTTATTCCAGTCCACCACAAGAGTCACTGGGTCGCCTCTTGTTTGTTTGCTGTTTGGAAGAAAAATCTGCACAATGTTGTCAAAATGTTTGAAAAGCACTGTGTTTGAGGGACATCCATCAGCAATCAGGAGGGGGTTTTGTTACATTCTTTATTTTGCTTGTATTTACTTTCAGAGGTGAAATATACAACTTTCAGTCAGTGTAGACTAAGATAATTTCTTTATCTTTTTCATTTATTTATTCTTAATAGTTAACAGCTTACAGTTTTATCCCAACTATACCCAAATGTTAACAGCTGCTTAAGGTCTTTAACGCGGCTCTGCTCTGTACATCCTGGCTATATTTTGAACTTTGACTTTCCATCTAATTCACTGTGTTCATGTCATTGGTTGTTTTTTCTTAGCTGTTAACTGAGCTGTGTAAAATAGACTTGTGTTTTAATATGACAGGAGTTATGGATTAAAGTCATCCAATGTTGTAATAACAAGATGTGTGTCTGTGTGGTCTTTATTGGGTTGCTTTCAAAAGTTACATGCACCTGTGTGGCTGGATCATGTATGACTCCTCAAAACCCTTCTCTTTTAGATGCCTTTCATTTTGGCATTTTAACAGATGACGTTTGGGACATTAGCACTGCCAAATCAGTTAAATGAAGAGAGAAAAACAAAAAGGAACAGGTACAGTTCATAATACATATAGAAGATTCAGAAGAAACAGTAAAGAAAAAATATAAATCTAGATGATTATAAGAATTATTTTTTGCCCCAATATGAATCCCCCTTCTTTTGCAGTCAAAGAATGAAAGTTATTTTTTCCATTACAGCCATGAAAATCAAAAGTCACTTTTATTTAGACCTTCAGGAATATTTTTAAGGAACAAAAAGGTAAAAGAGAAATATAATTAACAATTAATTAACTGTCGACTCGGAAGCTGCAAATCGGAAGCCAACTTCAGCGTCGTCACTATTATTGCACAACCAGTTTACACTCCTACATTTTATCATTACTACTTTTCTATATAACATTAAGATCCTAGAATGGTAAGATTTTTGTTGTCACCAACATACAAAACAACTCAATAACAATTAAAGCTGCAAGCAGCGTTGGGCGGGACCTCGCACTCCACTTGACTCGGGGTGTGTTGTGGCCGCATCACGACCGCTTCATGTCATCACGCGTTTTAGACACCGATTCGGGCGTTCATAGCGAGACTCTTCACTGCGAACCGTGGAAATTCAGCGCCACGCCACGGACACGTTGTTCGATGATCAGTCAATATTTGATTTGATCAACATCGTGTCTACGTTGCAGTCAGTGTGATAAAATCTGTAGGAGGAGTTATTTAAAATAGAAGCCCTGAAATGCCTGAAATGGCATCACAGTTTGACATTCGATTCAAAATGGCCAACTTTGACGACACGCCACGGACACGCCCTTTGACGTACAGTCACAAATAGCAGAAATGTTAATTAGCAACATTGTTTGACTGTACTGACCAATTTTGAAGCAGAACCGACAAATTCCCTGGGAGGAGTTCTTTCAAATACAAGACTACAGAATTCAAAATGGCCAACTTTGACGGCAAGCCACGGACACGCCCTTCAACGTACAGTCGCAAATATCACGGCGTTCATTCAGCACCATTTTTTGACTGTACTGACCAAATTTGAAGTCAGTGTGATAAAATCTGTAGGAGGAGTTATTTAAAATAGAAGCCCTGAAATGTCTCAAATGGCATCAGTTTGACATTCGACACGCCCTTTGACGTGCAGTTACAAATTGAGCAGCGTTTCTTCAGCACCATTTTCTGACTGTGCTGACCAATTTTGAAGCAGAACCGACAAATTCCCTTGGAGTAAATTGTTCACAAACAACGGAAAAAAAGACCACGGAAGTCAAAATGGCCGACTTTGACGGCACGCCACGGACACGCC